CTATACACTGTGCCCTGTTATTAACTTGCTATTCCGCTTTCCGCATACCTCTCGAATGACCTTTTAATGGATGCTGGCTCTGGAAGTTGGAAACCCAACCGGTTATTTGGGTACTTCACGAACAGTGTGACATTCGCCAGTTCCACAGTTAGGAATAATGGGTTGAGTAAAGAAGTGAGATGACTGGTGGAATGGATGAATGACTTATGAATGAATGGGTGGAATGCCTGCGTTCCCAAATGCCTAATTTGAGAGTCGACGATTCAACCCATTGATTGTTGGGACTGAAGGCAAGGACGGTACGCGATAGTTGCGCTCTGGCATCAAGCCTGTTAAGAAATTAACACTTGAAGACTACGTATTTTTAAATGTTCCTGCTTGCAGCAGGAGGTGCATTTGGGTATTTTCGTCTAAGAATGTGATTCGATAATAGCGAAATGCCTATTGGAACGAAGACTTGCTCTTCAAAATCAAGTAGCGACTTATCAGATTGGTGGGGAAATAAATGGGTCTGTAGGTTGTTCTACCACTGCTTAAGTGATCTTGCATCTTAGTGGACCTAATCTGTTCCTTTTGACGAGGACCAACTCATTGCCTCTCAGTGTAAAGAGACGCTAAGTCAAAGGTTCAGTCCTGTCTAATGTGCAGGGCCGGAAAGCATTGATGAGAACCATTTGTCATACGGATTCGGGTCGCCCTGCCGGTTGATCTCTGCATCGAAAATGGAAGAAGTCATTTCGTCTATTTAAGCGACGAAGGCCAGACACTGCCTTTTGGGCTTGCTGCTGCAGGAGCCACCTTCTGACACTTAATGTAAACTGCACTAATCGGTTTATCTCCCAAACATTGCATGACATACCTAGATAACATTCCTGTCCCCAGTAGAGATAATCGTCAATCAGAGATAAGTGTTAGACTGGCTATGAGACGCGCGTTTGACTGTGAATCTAAGGATGTGCCATTTCTGCAGCCCTCGGTTAACTTTTAAGGCGTACTCCCTCGTCAGACAGGGCGGCAGTCATCGAAGATCGTACATCGAGAGTGCGGACCGAGCCAGCACCGTCCGATCAGGCGAAACTTGGTAGTTTTATAGGTCTGGCAGGTTACTGTCGGTTTTTCGTAAAAGATTTTGCTAAGATTGCAAGCCCGCTGTATGAATTGATGGAAAACCAGGTAAAAATAATCCCAAGACCACAATGAAGCGTTTGAAAAAGTGAAGGGAATGCTCTAGTCCACGCCAATTCTAACATAGCCCAACTTCGAATCAAGCGCTCCACCGCTTGCACTGTACACTGAGGCTACGGGTACAGTCGTGGGCAGTGTACTCCTACGAAAGGCAAAAGCATAAGCTACTAGACTCAGCAAGGGGTGAAAATGAGACTTAATTGGGCAGCACAACAGTGGCTCGCCACTCCAGACATGTCCTGATAACGTGAGAGATCACCGGGCCCTACGCAAAGGGGAGTAAACGCAGCAACGCAGATGTCCAGTTTCGCTATCCAGTCTTGGTAGACACAGGTGGTGTTTTAGTAGGTCACATATTCTTGATCGAGTCTACTAAGAGTAATTGAATAATGAACAGTGTTAACCCCGATACAGCTCCGGTGGACGAGAGATTTAGCACATCATCTTCCAAGACGGCCAGGCGGATATGGTGAGGTTAGTCAAAACTCCGTCTACACAATGATGTATCGCTGTACCAAGGTGATGCTGGAGCTCTTGGGTGACTAGCATGCCCGGTGTCATAAATATAAACGGTTCTCCAAGAGTTATACAAGTAACTAGGCCACGTAAGTGAAAAAGACACCTCAGGCGGAAAGTACTAACCCCCTTCAATTTCTCAAGACGTACTTAGTTCCTTTGAAATTTGTGTTAGTTGAAGCAGCTTTGTGATCATGGGTCCTCCACCACCCACCAAAAGAGGAGGCCGATGTGTCCCTGCTGTCAGGCTGATTCACGAAAGTAACCCGGGCAGAACCCATGAATGCACATGTTTTTAAATCGGTCGCCTCACTTCCGTTTAACTGCCAAATTTGTCAGTACAGGGTGTCCAAAGTAGCGCAAAGCCATCAAGGCATTAATTTTAAACTATGCAAGGAATTTCAGATTCCCTGAACATCTCTACGGGAATGGATAGGTGAAAAAAACGATCCGCACACTGACTCTACTAAAGAAGGCTTTCACTGGGGATACCGAACCAGGGGTCGAGGTAGAAGAAACAATCAACGAACCCTCTGCACCAAGTCCACATGCAGCACAAATGTAGGTGGAATGGACAGGCACTTGACACCTAAAAATCTCCCACCATCCACTCAGTGCATAAGAGATTCCCACTACCGCCGCCAACATTATGGGAGCGATCAGGAATCTTAAAATTCACGCCAAACCGATGAAAATGATGGTCCTGGATACGTAAATTAGGTACAATATAAAAAGGCAAATTCACATAAAAATTACAGAAATGCCTACCTTGCCATCACATTTAACGGAAACAAAAGGAGAGACAATTTAAAGCCATTGTACTTTAAACTTTCCTAATTTTTACTCTAGTGAATTGCCTTCATGGCCAAGAACAATAATGTGGAAACAAACACCTTAAAAGTAGACGGGAAATTCATTTACGACAAATGATTATTACTTTAAAAGAAGGTATTAGAAGTGTTAGAATTTGTACTGTATTTGAAGCAAAATTGGGCCTGGCAGGTGGCTATCGAGGTGCAACAAGAATATTTAGCACACTCCTAGGCACCAATCCGCGTTTGAAACTCTTGTTCATTGCCATAAAACGACTATGATCGAAGTTGTATAAGAGGTAGATCACTTCGCCAGCCTTAAATGGAGTACAGTAGGCAAATAATAAAAAAATCGAATGAAGAGAATGTGGCCTAAAATGAGGCTGGTTTGCTATCAGTGTTGAAACTTACCACAACGGAGAGACAATCGTTCCGGGGCTCGTTAAAGTCCTCAATGACTTCAGCTCGTGGTCTGTGCTGTAGCACCTTAGCTAGCTCAAGATTAGAGCTGATTAGGCGCGCATACTCACTGAGTACAACCACGCCCTTACCTGACCACGTTTCGCACTCGAGCAATTCATCCAAGGGCAGAAGATCGGGATCACTCTCAAGGTACTTAGAATCGTAATCTATCCACCGCACGATATCACCATTCTGCCGAGAAAATCCAAATTAAATCCCTTTACACACATGCGCAGACAAGCCAATGATTTCAAAATAAAGTCGAACAAAGTAAGAAGTCCACGTGCACAAAGCTTTCAAATATCTGCCTACCTCATATCCAAGTGCAAATGTGTCCTCCGTTTCCGGAATATTCTCGATCATCAACCACACGGCTCTTCTGGTTGAGACTCTTGTCTGGAAACATTAAACAAACAGCGAATAATTGGAAAGATCCCAACTTTTCTCAGCAGCGAAAGGTGGTGCGCAATAGAATAACGAATTTGCATCAGCGACCAAATAGCCTTACAGAGAGGAAATTTACGATCGCAAATGAACAAACGCACACACTTGCGCGTTAAACTACTATATGATGAATAACAAGAGTAAAAAATACAACGATTTTTTGCAGTTAACCTATTTGGTAAGCCAAGAAATAAAATAAAACCTACCACACGTTCCGCCTTTTACTTAAGAAGGCAGTCATTCATCCAATAACAAGTTCAACCGCTATTACATGCATGTTATAGTATCCCATTGCTTATTATAATATCCCCATGCTCATATCTTGTAATGTAATGTTAACAGCTAGTTACTTGACGGAAAGCACACCAGTTATGCAGTGCTGCTTTAGTTGGTAAGTCCAAAGGTAACATTGTAAAACAGTCCACAATGCATATTGGCATAATTTTGAACGTATGCATTGTTAAAATACAGATACAGCCGTTTTTCAAGCTGAGAGTCAAAATCCTACCTCCATCACACGGCTCACAACAAAATTCCGCTCTGTATAATGACCCACACAAAACAGTCTGCAGCAAAAGAATAAAACAAACTATGTAATTGTTGTTTGTTTGTATATTTTGGTAATTTTATACATAGGCCTAGCCAGTTATTAGAGCACTGTAATTTCGAGCCTATGTAGTTAAGACTGGGGTCAGCTTAAATTCTCGGAAGCAGCCTCATTGAAAACTTGCGAAACATTATTTACTTTTCCCAAATTAAATAAGATATCGCTAGCCAGAACCGTTGCTGTGGAGCGAGACTCATCGGTCTCCGCTTCCCTATTCCTAACGTTCCTAGGCAAGCCCAGTTGATTCGCTTTGGACATCTTTATTAAAGGTGACAAGATGGAGAGGGAAAATACAATGTTCAAGAAGGAGGGGAGCTGTAGTCACTAGGTACGGGAGAGGACAATCCGATCACGAGATTCGAATTTTCTGCTTGCCTTCTCCCTGAAAGGTACATTAAAACAACGTAAGTATTACACCGCATGTAGCGTATTTTGCAGAGTTATCTCCAGTTCGGCGCATTTTGAATGCATCCTGGTGTCCGTCATTCCTTTGCTGTGGTAAATTTTCTTTGTCTCAACTGTATTGAACCAGGTTGATTATAATTCCGCCCTGCTGCACGACCATTCCGACACGTGGGCCACTTCTCAACTACTCTGCATATTAGTACTGGTTGTCCTAATACAGTAATTGCGCTTGTTACAACGTCAGGAGATGTTTTAGAGGGCCACATCGGTGATAAGTGGGGATAAACAACTGCTCTTCATAACATAGCTTATTGTGCTTTCGCAAAAATTGGCTTCACCTTTAATTGGCCCGCAATTTTCCAAACCTATTTCCTCAAACCGTTGAATCGTAAACACTTTGCTGTTGCAACATTTCTTAGAATTAAATCATCTCCCTTAACAAATTGCAATCGTTGAATTATCTCAATGTCAAGAGAAGTAAACCTACTAGTGAACCAGCTTGGAAAGTTAGTTTTTGTTCAGCAGTTGAGAAGCAATTTTGAACTACAAACCATTTTATTGCAACACATTAAAGCAAATGTGATGCTCTGTGAAATTTACGAAAATAAAACACTGTTGTGAGTCTGTATTATTTGATCGGACCTATTTATTGAAGGAAGTGAGTTTTAAATAGATGGAGTGCGGTTTTTTAAGCTTACCTGCAGGGGCTCACAGAAGGAGAGGTGACTCGTTTGCCTCTTCGACCTCTCCGACAACGCCACAAAGAGGCCAGCGTAAAGGGCGTCTATGGCGAACTTTAACGCTGTTGGCAAAGGCGATGACATTGTACTCTGGCATGGCGGTCTATCTATTGTGTTCCGGTGGCGGTGACCTTGCTGGTGACGCCTGGAAAGCACTGGCTTGATTGGCAAGACAATTTTGTAGCCAGTCTGATGAATAGATTCTTTATGTCTGTTGACACTTACAAAGACAACACATAGACAAGGGAGTTTTTGATCACACTTTTATCTACTTGGAGCATATTTATGTTGCCTAACACTTATGGATAACCGAATCTGCTACCATCGGATGGCATTTCCAATTCCTCTAGTGCTTTTAAACCATAATAGAGAAGGAAGGATGAAAAGGCCCAGGCAATACTGCACATTGCCCTTCCGATGTTGAAACGAATGTAGTGAAAGTGCCATTTACAAGGAGGGTTTTGGAATGTTTTCCTCTTTTCAGCATTTCCAAAACTCAGCCGGAGCAAATGAGTGTTGTATAAGTACAGTCCATTCGGCATTAACCTCGCCAACCACTGCCAACTGATGTCGGTCGTACTGCACCACACATTCAATGGGACACTGCATTTGGCGATGCGGAGAAGGCACCTGACAATTAAGAGACTGTGGAACTACATTAATTCTTCTTCTTAACTACCATCTGGATATGGGTTAACTCAAAGTTGAGCAGTTACCAAATCCACATTCTCGTATGCCAGTCATCGGGGTCACGTGATTGGCAAGAAAGCAATGTCAAAGCTGTCATCTGCAACGTCTAGTGGTGTGAGCAGGGAGTTAAGCACAACTGTTGGATGTGTCAGTGTGGCCGTTGCGGTGAAGTGGAAAGCTCTGTAGGAGTTTTGGCGTAGGCGGTGAGACGAGTTAATGGGTGGTACGAAGGTCGTGCCTTACATCACCCATAATGCTGCAGTTCTGACCTCCTTAGAGAGTTCACATTGCATAATCCTTGCCCACAAATGCCTTTTTATCTCTTTGCTGATGTAAATGACCCCATCATCTTCTTTTGCATTCTATAAGTCGGCTTCGGCAATGCCACATCAACCTAATTCTCACTTCCACTTCTCATACGTTTCCTTCACAGACGTATGTCACCTGATGCACCTCATCACGAGGACAATCTCCAATGCTGAACTAGTCAAAGCAGTAGTGGTGGTGTTGGGCTTAACCAGTTTTGTATTGCAGAAATCGCTTTACCTGGTACCACGCTGCAAATCACTGCAATAATCATCAAAGTCAGGTGTCTGTCTGGCACTGGCAGTAGACATGTGACAAGCCTCTATGTCTCTACGCCTGCCTCCTCGTGGAGACATTCCACCCATTCATTCATAAGTCATTCATCCATTCCACCAGTCATCTCACTTCTTTACTCAACCCATTATTCCTAACTGTGGAACTGGCGAATGTCACACTGTTCGTGAAGTACCCAAATAACCGGTTGGGTTTCCAACTTCCAGAGCCAGCATCCATTAAAAGGTCATTCGAGAGGTATGCGGAAAGCGGAATAGCAAGTTAATAACAGGGCACAGTGTATAA